GGGTCTCGAACCCGTGGGCTCAGGCAATCCACTCACCTCAGCCTCCCAAAGCATGAGATTACAGGCTGAGCCACTGAGCCCAGCTTAATTTTTTGATTTAATGTAGAGATGAGGTCTTGCCAAGTTGCCCAGGCTGGTCTTAAACCCATGGGCTCAGGCAATCCTCTAACCTCGGCCTCCCAAAGTACTGGGATTATTAGGTGTGAGCCACAGCGCCCAGCCTAGAAAGTTTTCAATTTACTTTGCCTAGATCCATCAGAGGAATCATTATTTATGGCAACTATAATCTTCCAAGATGTATTTCTTTTTTTTTTTTGAGTTGGAGTCTCACTCTGTTGCCCAGACTGGAGTGCAGTGGCCGCTTCTGGCCGCCGCAGCCTCGACCTGCTGGGCTCCGGCGATCCTTCTGCCTCAGCCTTCCAAGTAGCCGGAATTACAGGCATGCACTACCACGCCCGGCTGATTTTTTGATTTATTGTAGAGATGAGGTCTCGAACCCGCGGGCTCAGGCAATCCACTCACCTCAGCCTCCCAAAGGCGCAGGATTACAGGCTGAGCCACCGAGCCCGGCCAAGATGTATTTCTTAAGTAATAAGGCTTGAAAGTCAAAATCACTTCTTGATCCATAGGCTGCAGAATAAATGTTGTGTTAACAGGCAGGAAAACAACATTAATCTCTTTGTACATCTTCCTCAGAACTCTTGGGAGACTAGGTACATCATCAATGAGCAGTAATAGTTTGAAAAGAAACTTTTTTTCTGAGCAGTTCTCAACAGTGGGCTTAAAATAGTCAGTAAACCATGCTGTAAACAGATGTGCTGTTATCCAGGCTTTGTCGTTTCATTTATAAGCTCAGGCAGAGTAGATTTAGCATACTTCTTAAGGGCCCTACGATTTTTGTAATGGCAAATAACCTTTTTTTTTTTGAGTCAGAGTCTTGCTCTGTTGCTCCAGCTGGAGTGCAGTGGCACAATCATAGCTCACCACAGCCTCGACCTACTGGGTGCAGGAGATCCTTCCACCTCAGCCTCCTGAGTAACTGGGCTACAGGCATGTGCCACTACACCTGACTAATTTTTGTATTTCTTGTCGAGATGAGGTCTTGCTATATTGTCCAGTCTTGAACTCCTAGGCTCAAGCTATCCTCTCACCTCAGCCTCCCAAAGTGTTGAGATTACAGATGTGAGCCACCCACCTGGTCGCAAATAAGCACTGACCTCAAGTTAAAATCACCAGGCACATTAGCCTCTAGCAGGAGAATCAGCCTGTCCTTTGAAGCTCTGATTCAGGCATTGACTTCTCCTCTCAGCTATGAAAGTACTACATGGCATCTTCTTCCAATAGAAGGCTGTTTCATCTACACTAAAAAATCTATTTAGTGCAGCCGCCTTCCTCAGTTATCTGAGCAAGCACTTCTGGATAGCTTGCTGCTGCTTCTTCATTAACTCTTGCTGTTTTACTTGCCCTTTTGTGTCTGCAGACGGCTTCTTTCCTTAAACCTCACGAAGCAACCTCTGCTAGCTTACACTCTCCTTCTGCAACTTCCTTACCTTTCTCAGCCTTCACAGAATTGGAGGGGGTTAGGGCCTTGCTCTGAATGAGACTTTGGCTTAAAGGAGTTTTATGGCTGGTTTGATCTTCTATCCAGACCACTCAAGCTTTCTCCAGATAAGCAATAAGGTGGTTTTGCTTTCTTATAATTCATGTGTTTTCAGGAGAAGCACTTTTAATTTCCTTCAACAACTGAACTTTTCCTTTGCAGTCACAGCTAACTGTTTAGACCTCCCAGCCTGGCTTTCAGCCTCTCTCTCCTTTTTTTTTTTTTTTTTAGAGTCGGGGTCTTACTCTGTTGCCCAGGCTGGAGTGCAGTGGCATGATCATGGCTCACTACAACCTCAACCACCTAGGTTTAGGTGACTCTCCTGCCTCAGCCTCCTGAGTAGAGGGGACTACAGGCACATGCTACCACACCCAGCTAGTATTTTTGATTTTTTGTAGAGACAAGGTATCACTATGTTGCCTAGGCTGGTCTCAAACTCCTGGGCTCAAGTGATCCTACTGCTTTAGCCTCCCAAAATTCTGGGATTACAGGCATAAGCCACCATGCCTAACCATTGTCCATTTTAAAATTGTGTTGTTTGTCTTTTTATTATTGAGTTGTAAGGATTCTTCATATATTCTAGATACAAATACATTATGAGATATATGACATTAATATTTTCTCTCATTCTGTGGGCTGTCTTTTCTTTTTTTTATAGTATCTTTTGAAGCTTAAAAGTTTTCTTTCTTTCTTTCTTTCTTTTTTTGTTGGAGTCTTATTCTGTTGCCCAGGCTATAGTACAGTGGCACTTTCATGGCTACTGCAGTCTCGATCTGCTTTGCTCAGGCAATACTTCTGCCTCAGTCTTCCAAGTAGCTGGAACTACAGGTGTGCAACACCACACCCAGCTAACTTTTTGATTTTATTGTAGAGACAAGGTCTCACCATGTTGCACAGGCTGGTCTTGAACTCTTGGGCTCAGGCAATCTTCTTGCTTCTGCTTTCCAGAGTGCTGGGATTACAGACATGAACCACTGCACCCAGCAAAAATTTTAATCTTGGTGAAGTTCAATTTTATTTTGTTGTTGTTGTTGTTACTTTTGGTATTATTCCTAAATTCAAGATAACAAAGACTTACACCTATGACTTTTCCAATCCAAGGTAATAAAGATTTATGCCTATATTTTCTTCTAAGAGTTTTATGGTTTTAATTCTTACATTTAGGTTTTGATTCACTGTGAGTTAATTTTTATATATGGTGTGAGGTAGGAATCAAACATCATCAACTGTAAATATTCAGTGTTCCCAGCATCATTTGTTGACAAAACTATCCTATCTTCATTGAATTGTCTTGACATCTTTGTCAAAAAATTGACTGTAAATGTGAGAATTTATTGAGAATAATATAAGGTGGAAGGATTGCTTGAGCCCAGGAGTTCAAGGCTGTGATGAGCTATGATCGTGCTGCTGCTGCACTTCAGCCTGAGTGACAGAGTGAGCCCCCAACTCAAAAAAAAGTTAAAAAAAAAATGAAATAAAGTGAGCAAAATATCTCAACAGACATTTCTCGAAAGAAAATATACAAATGGGCAATAAGCACATGAAAAGATGCTCAACATCATTAGCCATCAGGGAAATGGAACTCAAAACCACAATGAGCTACCACTCCACACCCAATAGAATAACTATAATTAAAAAAAAAGAGACAGGCAAGATGTGATGGCTTATGTCTATAATCTCAGCACTTTGGGAGGCTGAAGCAGGAGGGCCAGGAGTTCAAGACCAGCCTGGGCAACATAGTGAGACCTCACCTTTACAAAAAAAAAAAAAAGACAGCTAACAAATGTTGATGAGGATGTGGAGAAATTGGAGCCCTCGATCACCGGTGGATATGTAAAAGGGTACAGGTGCTTTGGAAAGCAATCTAACCATTCCCCAATTGGTTAAACACAGTGTTACCATGTAACCCAGCTATTATACTCAAGAGAATGAAAATATGTCCATATAAAAACGTGTACACTAATGTGATAGCAGCATTATTCGCAATAGCCCTTAGTCCATTTCCTGCTGTTATATGAGAATACTGGAGACTTGATCATAGTCTGGAGGCTGAAGATCAGCATCTGGTGAGGGCCTTCTGGACTCTGCAACCTGGAATCTGTGGTCAAATCAAGGTGCATCTGACTCTTTTAAAGTTTTTTTGTTGTTGTTATTCTCTTCTTTTTTTTTTTTTTGAGATAGAGTCTCACTCTGTGGCCCAGGCTGGAGTGCAGTGACACGCTCACGGCCACCCCAGCATCCACCTGCTGTGCTCTGGCGATTCTTCCACCTCAGCCTTCCAAATAGCTGGAACTACGGGTGCACACTATCATGCCCGGCTAATTTTTGATTTATTGTAGAGACGAGGCCTCACTAAGTTGCCTGGGTTGGTCTCAAACCTGCGGGCTCAGGTAATCCACTTGCCTCGGCCTCCCAAAGTGCTGGGATTACAGGCTGGGCCACCGAACTCGGCCTCACCTGACTCTTAAGTCGTGTTTGTTATGACTGTGGCAGTGGAAGAGCAAGGGCTGTCCAATCTGAGAGTTTGTGCCTATTGCCCCCTTAGAAAAGTCACTCATGCAGTCCTCTAAGGCCTTTTAGGACCGTGGTGTTGTATATAGGTACTTCCAAAAGGCTCCTGGATACAATGTACAAGCAAGGGATAGTGACTGAGGGCTGGCAGTTGGGCTTTGATAATCAACATTTTCCCTACATTTTGCAGGGCTGGGGACACAATAGGTGCTCACTTAAATGTGGAGTGGAGAAGTGGGAGGATAAATAGATAGATGGAAGGATGGGTAGGTGTTGGAGAAGGTGGGTGAAGAGATGGATGGAGGGACAGCTGGATGAATGGTGGAGATAAGAATGGATGGTAGCTGGGCTTGGTGGAGGCTGAGGTGAGTGGATTGCCTGTAATCCCAGCACTTTGGGAGGCTGAGGTGAGTGGATTGCCTGAGCCCGTGGGTTCGAGACCCGCCTGGGCAACTTGGCGAGACCTCATCTCTACAATAATTCAAAAACTAGCCAGGCATGGTAGCGTGCGCACCTGTAGTTCCAGCGACTTGGAAGGCTGAGGCGGAAGGATCTCTGGAGCCCAGCAGGTCGAGGCTGCGGTGGCCGGGAGCGGCCACTGCACTCCAGTTTGGGTGACAGAGTGAGACTCCAACTCAAAAAAAAAAAAAAAGAATGGATGGCATAGTGACCCGTACCTATAATCCCAGCACTTTGGGAAGCCAAGATGAGAGGATTGCCTGAGTCTGTGGGCTCGAGACCAGCCTGGGCAACTTGGTGAGACCTCTACAACAAATAAAAAAATTTAGCTGGGTGTGGTGGTACATGCCTGTAGTTCTGGCTACTTGGAAGACTGAGATGGAAGGATCACCTGAGCCCAGCAGGTTGAGGCTGTAGTGGCCGTGAGCATGCCATTGCACTCCAGCCTGGGTGACAGAGTGAGAGTCCAACTCAAAAAAAAAAAAGAATGGATGGATGGATGGGTGGACTAGAGCAACTGAGGAGTGGCTGCCGGCAGGACAGCGAGTGGGTGGGGTGATCAGACACATGGAAGGTGTCTTGTCCTGCTCACTGCTTGTCATCCTTTGCCTTCAGCTTCGGGCAGCAGAGGTGGAGATCAAAGATCTGCAGTCAGAGTTCGAGCTGGAGAAGATCGACTACTTGGCCACCATCCGTCGGCTGGAACGTGACTCCGTGTTCTTCCAGCAGCTCCTGGAGAAGGTGCAGCCGCTGATTCGCAGGGACTGCAACTATAGCAACCTCAACAAGATTCGGCGTGAGTCCTACTGGGACGAGGATAACAGCTTCTGGAAGATCCCGGAGCCCATCATCATAAAAACCAGCCTCCCAGTAGGTCAGGAGCTTGGCTCCCCCTTGCCCTCTTCCCACCCTCTGCTGCCACCATCCTGCAGCCTGATGAGAGCCTGGGCCTTGACCCGCAGGCTGTGGGTGCAGCAGACACGTGACCTCGGGTATTTGACATGTTGGGGCTCTGAGAGAGGGCTGTGTTCCGGAGGCAGACAGATATGGGTGGGAATTCTGGCTGCACCATTCCTTGTGTGACTTCTTTGGGACTCAGTATCCTCATTATGAAAGGGGATGGATAACAGCACCTTCCGTCAAGGTGCTATGAGGGTAAAAATGTGTTAATGTATGTAAAATCCTAAGAGCAATGCCTGGTACATGGTAAGTGCTTGGTATACATCATCTTATCATCATTACTACTTCATCCTCACAGCAATACTGTGAAGGATAAAGATGATTATGCCCATTTTTACATATGAGGAAACTGAAGCTCGGAGAGTGTCAGTGACTTGGTCAAAGTCACAGTCACAGCAGTGAGTATGGATAGAAACCAGCTAGTCTGAGTTTCAGGCTTGGTTCTACTTCTGCTTTTGTTGCTGACCGCCTATGTGAGTTTATGAAGGTCAATGTCCCTCTCTGGGCTTCTTTACAAAGAAGAGGTTGGATAAGATGACCTTGAAGGCTCTTCATCTCTTATGTGTCTCAGAGTAAAGTATTTGCCAGGGATCTTTCTCCAGCCACAGACCAGGCTCTGCCTGTTTGGGGGACAAGCAGCATCCCCCATCAGTCCCCCACCAGTCAGTGTTCATCCAGGGCCTACGTCTCTGACATTTACATATGGCGTTGACACCATCCCTGCCAAGACTCCAGCCAGCCCCTTTCCCAGGTGCTCTGGGCAGCAGCAGTCTCCTGCCTGCTCCACGTGCAGGCTATTTTGTCTGGAAGCAGGGGAGCAGCTTCTTAGATGACTGACCCTCCTGTGGCCCGTTTCCCAAAACCATCCCTTGGCTTGGGCTGGGAAGTGCCCTCTCCTGTTTAAGCTTGAGCTAGGCCTGATCCCACCTTCACCTGTGCCCTCTGGGCCTCGCATCGGGCATCAGTGACTTCAGCTTTTGTTTTCTCATAGCAGTTTCAACTGGGCCACAGAGCAAACCAGCTCACAGAAGCTCTGCAGCGGACAACAGCGAGCCATGTGCGGTAAGGCCCCATGAGAAGGAGTGGGCCAGGGCAATGGGCAGGGCTTTGTCCCAGAGTGCCATGGGTCAGCACAACTTCAGGAAGCTGATCTACTTTCCTCCCGCCTAAGGACTGGAGCAGGGGGCTGAGGCTGGACCCTTTTCTATGTCACCTCATTGGCATCTGGACCCTCAACCCCCTCTGGCCCTCATTCAAAGGCACGTACAATCATAAACACCACGGGACAGCCAGGCTCGGTGGCTCAGCCTGTAATCCCGCGCCTTTGCGAGGCTGAGGTGAGTGGATTGCCTGAACCCACGGGTTCGAGACCCGCCTGGGCAGCGAGACCTCATCTCTACAATAAATCAAAAAATCAGCCGGGCGTGGTAGCGCATGCCTGTAATTCCGGCTACTCGGAAGGCTGAGGCGGAAGGATCGCCGGAGCCCAGCAGGTCGAGGCTGCGGTGGCCGGGAGCGGCCACTGCACTCCAGTCTGGGCGACTGAGTGAGACTCCAACTCAAAAAAACAAAAAACAAAAAAACAAAAAAAACACTACGGGACAAGTAGATGGTTCCCAGGGGCCCATCCTGCTGGTGAAGAACAATCTAGGGGACAAGCAGCACATTCTGGTTCCTCAGACCAAAAGGATCCTCAAAGGGTTTGTGAGACAGTAACCAGGATTCTCAGGTCACTTTATTTTCCTATCTACCATTTTTATAGTGCGACAGAAATGTGTGTCCTTAAAGCAGGGATGTTTTGAACGAAACTCTTCAAGTTTCTCTATTAGCTTTGCTGATAGCTACTGTCCCCCAGCAGCCCCCAGAGGCTCAGACAGAAGAACCCCAGCAGGGGTGGCCTCACCATAAGCGGTCGGATTGCAGGTGTGGCTTCAGTGACACAACCACAATGTGAAAGCCTAAGAGTTATTACTTACAGATCCTCCAGCTGGGTAGGGTGACCAGAGAGGGACCCATGGCAGCTGGATCCTCTGCTGGTGCTCTCCTGTCTGAGCCTCTGGTGGCTGCTGGGGACAGCAGCTGCCAGTGACATTAATAGAGAAACTCAAAGAGTTTTGTTCAAAGACAGGGGGTCAGCAAACTTTTTCTGTGAAGGATCCTGTTGTAAATATTGCAGGCTTTGTGGGCCCCGAGGTCTCTGTTGCAGCTACTCAACTCTGCCACTGTGGCACAAAACAGCCATAGATAATACATACATGAATGGTATGTTCCAATAAAATTTTATTTACAAAAACAGTCTGTGAGCCGGGCTTGGTGGCTCAGCCTGTAATCCCGCGCCTTTGGGAGGCTGAGGTGAGTGGGTTGCCTGAGCCCACAGGTTCGAGACCCGCCTGGG